CCGGCCGTGGGTGACAAGGGTGGCGAGCTTGTCCTGGCTCGTGCCCTCTCATGACAGAGAGCTGGGGATGGACACACAGCACACACGGGGGATGGGTCCTGAGTGTGTGTTGGGGAAGATGTTTGATATCGACAGCCCTGCACGGTGGAGCCATGACCTCTGCCTCCACCTTCAGGGTGAGGAGCTGTCGGCGTGTCTGCGTCTGTCCGTCTGTCATTGACACCTGTGTCCCCCAGGTGGAGAAGGCGGGCCGCAGGCTCTCTCCCCAGGTGGCCCTGGGTGAGCGCCTGCTCTCCTCTCTGCCCAGGAAATGAACGCCCTGCGAGGCCAGGTGGGCGGGGACGTCAGCGTGGAGATGGACGCCGCCCCCGGCGTGGACCTGAGCCGCATCCTGAACGAGATGCGCGACCAGTACGAGAAGATCGCCGAGAAGAACCGCAAGGAAGCCGAGGACTGGTTCTTCACCAAGGTGGGTGGCCCGCGTGAGCAGGTGCGCGCGCACCTGTGCGTGCATGTGCGGAGTGTGGGTCGGAGAACGTGTAGCCGCACAGACTGTGCCATCTGGAAGGGCCTTTGGAAACCAGTTGGACCAACCCTCAAGTTTAGACGCTGATCGTGAGGCCTGGAGAGGACCCAGGCTCACACCACCCTCGGGTGCGGCCTGGGGAACCAGGTCTCCCCCGCAGCGAGGGCTCCTCCCGCACAGGCCTTTGTAGGCATGTGTGTGTTTGGACGCATAACTCAGACCCTCAGAAAACACACGGAGAAGCGACAGGAACAGGCACAGAAAGATAAAACCTGGGCCTGTCTGAGCAATGTCACGGCTCCCTGGGCAGCAACTAGTGCAGATGCCTGCAAAGCAGGGCGAATCCCGCTGAGGGCCCATGTGGGCACCTAGGGTGTCTGTGTGCACCCATGTGGGCACCGAGGTTTGGGGCCCCACAGAGGCCAGCGAGGTGCTGGCGGAGCAAGTCCGGGAGGTCAGGGCTCAGGGGTGGCCCCTGCCCCCAGCCTATGTCCACACGCCTCCTCAAACCCCCACGGCCCACCTGCTTCCAGACGGAGGAGCTGAGCCGCGAGGTGGCCACGAACACCGAGGCCCTGCAGAGCCACAGGACGGAGATCTCTGAGCTCCGCCGCTCCGTGCAGAACCTGGAGATTGAGCTGCAGTCCCAGCTCAGCATGGTAGGGCCTCCGTCCCTCCCCTCCCCTCCCTGCCTCCTCCCTGTCATCCCAGGCCTACCTCCACTCGGAGAACAGACTCCCTCACAAATGTCACTTCACCCAGTGACATGGCCCCTCGCTGCCCCAGTTACCACCCCGCCTAGTTACTGGCTGCACCCACAACCCCCCACGGTGGGCTCCTCTGGGTGGGGAAGGGTCCCGCCTCGGTCTTATCCATCGGCCTGCGCTTTGGCCCACAGAAAGCATCGCTGGAGGGCAGCCTTGCGGAGACCGAGGCGCGCTACGGGGCGCAGCTGGCCCAGCTGCAGGGGCTCATCGGCAGCATCGAGCAGCAGCTGAGTGAGCTCCGCTGTGACATGGAGCGTCAGAACCACGAGTACCAGGTGCTGCTGGACGTGAAGACGCGGCTGGAACAGGAGATCGCCACCTACCGCCGCCTGCTGGAGGGCGAGGACGCCCAGTGAGTGGGGGCACCTGGGCACATGCTTCGCCCAGGGAGGGGCGATTGAGCTGCAGGGGCAGCCTCAGCAAAGCCAGGAGGAGGTGTGGAGGCTTGCAGGGGGCAACACGGAGACCGCTGGCTGGGGTCTGGCTGAGAGGAGCACTGAAGGCCACCTTAGAGCCGGCGGACTCAGTGGTGTAGACATGTGGGTGCCAGGAGGGGCTTTGCACAGGATGGGTATGATCGAGAGGCCTCAGAGCCTTCCCTCTGGCTGCAGACGGAGAGCTGCATCAAGGAGGCCGGGGGCATGGGGACCTGCCGGGAGGCTGAGGAAGGGGCAGGGGCAGGGGCAGGGAAAGGCCTGGGCATGGGGGCGAGCGTGGCTCACAGCGGGACTCAATCAGTGCTGAGTGAGCACGCGAAGGCCTGGGTAACGATGAGCCTGGGTTTCTGGTTCCCATGACTTGTGGTTGGCGACGCCATTACCCAGGATGGGATGAGGACCAGGGCAGCATCTGGTTTGGAGTGGGAAGGTGGGTCCGGGCCCTGCTATAAAGGGGCTGAGACCGTCCTGGAGTCTCCATGCTTAGTCAGCTTTTTTGGATCCTGAAGATGGTGAAGTCCCCTTATACTCTAACCACAGTCTCTCTTGCTTTAATCGAGTCTATTTGTGGGGTCCTTCTAGATACAGGAAAACGTGCTCAGCTTCTTGTACATCCCTGGCTAGCTGCAAAGGGCCTCTGGGCCTCTGTTGGGGTGGCCCCTTTCGGTACTCCTGCCCACTGGGCCTGTGCCCTCTGACCCTTGCGGTTGCCATTCTTTTCCGTGCACTCCCAGCTGGGATTCCTCTTTGGTTTTCTGGGACCTCTCTCCCCTCACCCTGGGGCTCCCCAGCTGCTTCTCCTCCCGGGGGACAGGGCTCCCAGCGTCACCCCTGGGTTGACAGGTCCCCTTTCCCTCCCTGCAGCCTGGCCAACCAGTACTCCTCGTTCCTGGCCTCGCAGCCCACTCGGGATGGTAAGAGTCTGCCCCATCCTGCCCAGAGGAGGCGGGAGAGTGGGAGGACCCTTCTGTGTGGGAGATGGGGGAGGGGCTCCGGCCTGAGGTTCCCTGCCCCACCCCCCTTCCCTCTGCAGCCACGGTGACCAGCCGCCAGGTGCGCACCATCGTGGAGGAGGTCCAGGATGGCAAGGTGGTCACCTCCCGGGAGCAGGTCCACCGCTCTACCCACTGAGCCCTTCCCACTTGCCTCGAGGGTCATGGGGCAGCCCTCGCCTCCAGCCCCCGGCACGCTACTGCTGAGCCCCGCGCGCCCGTCGGGGCCCCTGCCCGAGAGCTGTTGCCTTTCTGTACCTGCTTCCCAAAGCCCTCACGGGGGGCCTCCTGAATTGGCCCCAGTGACCACTATTAAAGCTTGGCCTGAAGTTCAATGCCTCCTGGGGTCCGGTGTGGTCATTGGTGTGGGGCGGTGTGGGCTGAGGGACTGGGGGAGGAGGAGATTCTGTTAAATTTTGGGGTGGTGGATGCCCGGCTGGCGGGGCTCAGTGGTTGAGCATCGACCTGTGAACCAGGCGGTCACGATCCGATTCCCGGTCAGGGCACATGCCCAGGTTGCGGGCTCAGTCCCCAGTGTGAGGTGTGCAGGAGGCAGCCCATCAGTGATTCTCTCTCATCATTGATGCTTCTATCTCTCTCTCTCTCCCATCCTCTCTGAAATCAATAAAAATATATTTTAAAAATTTTGGGGGTGGTGCTTGTCACCTGCCAACCAGTTCTGCCCACCTCAACCAGGCCTGGGGCTTGTGGGAGGACGAGAGGGAAGGAGGCAGGAGGACCTTCGGCTCCGGGATGGGACAGTCCACAAGCTGGGACCGTGTCTGAGAAGCAGCCCCTGGGGTCGCCATTGCCTGTGCTGGCCCCTGGGAGGGCCCCTAGGGATCCCAGGGAGCTGTGTCTATTATAGACGCTCCCACCTTCGCCTCCGTCTGGGGGAGAGAGGCCGGGCAGGGCTTCCTGAAGGGTGGTCCGGGACATAGATGGGTGAGAGGAGGTGGCAGCGGCACAGCCCGGGAAACCAGACCAGCTCTGCCCAGCTCCGGGGTGTGTGTGGGGCGGGGTGACCGCTGTGTTAAGTGAGCGTGGGGGGCTGTCTTGTTTGCTTTGGTGGCTTGGCAGCTGCCGGGCTATTGGGGAATCTCTGTTGGCTGCTGGCGGGGGCTGTCCGGGCCTGCCTGGGAAGTGGAAGCCATCGGCAGCCTGAGACACGACCGCATTCCGCCCAACCTGTCTGCTGGGGCGCTGGGACCCAGGCCGGGCCTGGGGTGGTGGGCAGGGCAGGGGAGCACTGTAGGTTGGCTCAGGGTCCATCCCGAAGGGCCATGTCAGGGGAAGGACCTGTGTGGGGGGACTGGCTGGGAGGGTCTCAGGAATGCGAAGGTGTATGCCCTCACCTTACCCTGAGGCCTCTTGGAGGGCTAGGGAGGTGGAAGGGGGCCTGAGCGTCAGTTCTCCTAGTTCCCTTTTACCACAAGGCTCTCCCCGCAGTGATCATGTCCCCATCTGTAGCTAAGCTTCTCTTTGCCCCCCTGTTAAGGAATCCCGGGGTTGGGACAGGTCAGAACACTGGCCAGATGGACTTGTAGCCCCTAGGAACGCTCCCCTGGGGTCAGGGCTGGGCAGAGTGGCCGGGTCCCTTGGGGAGGGGTCTGGAGCTCTAGGATGAGGGGTGAAACGCTGCCAGCCCAGTTCTGCAGGTGTGGGAGGCAGTGGGACATGATCCCCCTCAAGCCCCCGTCTCCTTAGCTATAAAACAGGGTGGTCATCTGAGACCTGACAGCGTGACTGTGTTGTGTGCTGAGCCTGGTGGTTTAGGTCCCGGTGCCAAGTGGAATGGGGGCTCCATCCTCGCTGCCTCCTCAGCCCCCAGTCCTGGGCTGGTGCGTTGAAGGACAGTAACCTCAGGCTGGGGGCGGGGGAGCTGCCGGGTTCCCCAACCTTTTCCCTACCAGGCCCAGGGGCCAGGTGGGCTGGGCTGGGGTGGCAGCCGCCTGGGAGGGCCTGGGATGGTGACGTCCTGCCTCTCCTCTTCCCCGTATTAGGTCATGGGAAATCGTAGCTCGAGGGCCTGCCTGAATCACAGGTGACGGGCTTAAGGACAGAGACACGCACACGCATATGCAAACACCCAGCATAGGGGTTCGGAGAAATGAGGCAAAGCCCCGGTGGTGGGAGGGGAAGGGGCCCACAGGCACCTGGGAGCTGGCCACCAGCCAGGGGTGATGAAAGCCCAGGGGAATGGAAAGAGGAGCAAGCCTATTGTCATCGCTGCCCCCGCCCACCACTCAGCCTGTTATAAAGGAGGCAGGCGAGCCCCAGCCACAAAGGCACCTCAGGCTTCTCTCCTCTCCAGTCCTCTTGCTCTGTGCCTGTGCCTGCCTGCCACCCGCTGTCACCACCATGACCACCACCATCCGCCAGTTCACCTCCTCCAGCTCCATCAAGGGCTCCTCCGGCCTGGGGGGCGGTTCGTCCCGCACCTCCTGCCGGCTGTCTAGCGGCCTGGGTGCCGGCTCCTGCAGGCTGGGGTCCACCAGTGGTCTGGGCAGCGCCCTGGGCAGTGCCATGGGGAGTGGCAGCTATTCCAGCTGCTACAGCTTCGGCTCAGGCAGTGGCTATGGCAGCAGCTTTGGGGGTGTCGATGGGCTGCTGGCCGGAGGCGAGAAGGCCACCATGCAGAACCTCAACGACCGCCTGGCCTCCTACCTGGACAAGGTGCGCGCCCTGGAGGAGGCCAACACGGAGCTGGAGGTGAAGATCCGGGACTGGTACCAGAAGCAGGCCCCGGGGCCCGCCCGCGACTACAGCCACTACTACCACACCATCGAGGACCTGAAGAACAAGGTGGGCGTTGGGGAGGGGTCTGTGGGGACCACGGCTTCTCCCACATCTCCTGCCCAACCTGGAATCCAGCCTGGGGGCTGTCACAGGGGCCTCAGGGGGCCCAGGACAGCTTGGCCCCAGCGTGGCCTCTGGGAGCCCACCTTGGGGCTGCTCTGTGGCTCATGTTATTCGTTTTTTTTGGGGTGGGGAGGCAGCAGGCTGGGCCAGGGGCAAGCAGGTCTCAGGGGGCTACTTCAAGGCTCCCTGTCCTCATCACAGAGCTTCTTCTTGCCACCTCATGAGTGATAGGATAAGGCGAATGGACACAGCTAGAGGGCTGGGCGGGCTCATGAGTTTGCTGGGTATGTGGGCACCTCTCTCCTTGGAGCCCTCGGAGGGGGTTTGGGGCAATGGTGGGGTCAGGGGTCTGAGTGAGCATCCCATGGCACCTGCTGGGAGGCGGAGACAGGAGAGAGAGGGCGGGGCCTCAGGAGGCCTCTTGCGAGCCTTATTTGGGGATTTTTTCTGGCTTCCCCATCCCTCCTGCTGCTCCCTCAAGAACTGGGCCCAGCAAACCCAGGGAGGGGGGAGCTGCCCACTGGAGCCCTGGGCCAAGGTTTAGCAGGAGTCAAGACTTCTGATTGGAAAATACTCTTTAGTGAGGACTCGTTTAGCCTCCCTTTTGGGGGAGACCCTCAGGGGCACCATGTCCCCAGCTGTAAAGTGTGGGGGTTGCCCACATCCCCTCTGCTTTCTGGGTTTCTGGGACAGTTTCTGCCGGGAGGCATCCCCCCCACACCACCCGCCTCCCACCTCTGTTCTCGGGCTCCCAGCCTGAGAGCTCCCGGGCTGCCTGCTCTGGGAGTCTGTGTTGAGGAGGTAGGTCCTGGGGGGACAGGAGGCAAGTTTCAACGCATTAGACTCTCGCTGGCATGGATTTTGTCAACAATTACACACAAGAAAGGAGAGAGGCTGGGCGGGAAGGGAGCCCTCCTGAAGAAGGCGGCCCCATCCTGGCCCCCGGCAGGATGGCCCTTCTCAGAACCCTGGTCTGGGCTGAACCACCCGCACCCAGTGATCCGACTCTTCCCCACCTCCCCAGATCCTCACGGCCACCGTGGACAACGCCAGCATCCTGCTGCAGATCGACAATGCCCGCCTGGCTGCTGATGACTTCCGTACCAAGTGAGCCTTCACCACTGAGCGGGGGAGGCCCTGGGGCACCCCTCCACACCCTGGGACCCCTCGGTTGCTTGTGATACAGGCCAAGAACTGGGGGTGGGGGAGTCTACCTCTTAGTCCAGGATGCAGCAAATTCTGAAGGTCGCAGGGCTAAGGTGATGGACAAGAGCAAGAGGAGGCAGGAGTGAGAAGTAGGAAGCCAGGCGGGGTAGGGCCCTGCCCTGCCTGTTCCCAGGGCCTCAGGTGGACTTTGCTTTCACTCCTCGCCACCATCATTCTTCATAAGCCCGTGGAGCCCTGGCAAAAGCAGGGTGCTGGCCAGGACCTGAACCTGCCAGTCCCAGTGTCCACATGGAAGTCTCTGGTTCCCTTGGCAGGTTTGAGACGGAGCAGGCCCTGCGGGTGAGCGTGGAGGCCGACATCAACGGCCTGCGCCGGGTGCTGGACGAGCTGACCCTGGCCAGGGCCGACCTGGAGATGCAGATCGAGAACCTGAAGGAGGAGCTGGCCTACCTGCGGAAGAACCACGAGGAGGTGAGGCGGAGGGGGTGGCAGGTGCTCCAGGGCTGGCCACCTCACAGGGCTGCCCTGTCCGAGGAGCCCTGATCCCGGGGGTCCAGAGCCAGCGTGCAGGCCAGCCTCCTTCCTGCTCCCCTGCATCAGAGGAACCTCCCAGGGGCCCATGAGGCCTCGTCTGCCCTCCCCCGCTTTAACCTCCCTCTCAAGGACAGGGTAGAAGTGAAGAGGTCCCCTTGTCCCAGCCCAAACCCTTAAATCTGGGCCCCATGCAGAAGTTTGGAAATTAGAGGGGATATTCTGGGGGCACAGGCCTGAGAATGAGATTTTATCTTTGGGGGGAGACACAGAACCTACCCTCAGGGTGCCCACAGTCTGATGGGGGAGGCAGAACCCATACAGAGCAGGTGAACAAGTCGTTAGGAGGGTCAGAGGGGAGAGGGCAGGCAGAATGAGGGAGAGGTCTGGAGAGCTTGTGTGGGAAGGGCTGGAGTGAGAGGCCGGATGCCCACACCACAGTCCCCGTCCTCCACAGGAGATGAACTCCCTGAGAGGCCAGGTGGGCGGCGAGATCAACGTGGAGATGGACGCCGCCCCGGGCGTGGACCTGAGCCGCATCTTGTCCGAGATGCGCGACCAGTACGAGAAGATGGCCGAGAAGAACCGCAAGGACGCCGAGGACTGGTTCTTCAGCAAGGTACCAGAGGCCTCTCCCAGCGATGGGGTGCAGGAACCGAGTCCCCACCGCAAGCCCAGGGCCTGGCATTGTGGGGGGCGCCCTCTCAGTGAGCCAAGTGCACCCCAGGAGTTCAGGCTCACCCATGGCATCAACGGGCTGGGAGCTCAGCTAAAGCTAGGATCTGGGGGTGGGCGGGGAGCCCCCACTCAGGAACACAGCCAGAGGATAAAGGCCCCGGGACCCTCCACCTCTCCTGCAAGGAGTCAAGAATGGCACCAGGGGCCTGGCTACCGGTCCTTAGCAAGGGAGGGGGTAGGGACCCATTAGGGTTCTCAAGTTTCCTACTCTTGTGCCCTCCACCTGTAGGGATTAAAGATAAACTTTAACATATTCCCAAGGTTTCGGGACTTTGGGAAGTGGGAAGCTGATGAGAGACACTCCCCGCATAGTCAGGTTTAGGAAGAGGGCCCAGGAAGGCGGACAAGGTCAGGGGGTTATGGGGCGTGGGGGGGCCCATGTGCCCGTCTGGGCACCGAATGGGTCCTGGGCTGAGGATATGCAGGGCGTGGTGGTTGTCTGACGTGGAGAAGGGACCCCAGGCTCACGCGGCACCGTCCTGTGTTCTGTCTGCAGACCGAGTCAAAAATAAAGAAAATATTTTAGTCATTCAGGCTGAAAAAAGGAAAGACTAAATCAGGCTAGCTTCAAACTAGCTCCGGCGCACCATGCAGGCCCTGGAGATCGAGCTGCAGTCCCAGCTCAGCATGGTAGGGGCGCGGCCAGGCCGGGGGTGGGCCCCAGGCCCCACGGGGGGCACCGACCACCCTCTCTGACCCTGTTCCTCCTGCACCCCTGCAGAAAGCATCCCTGGAGGGCAGCCTGGCGGAGACGGAGAACCGCTACTGCGTGCAGCTGTCCCAGATCCAGGGGCTGATCGGCAGCGTGGAGGAGCAGCTGGCCCAGCTGCGCTGTGAGATGGAACAGCAGAACCAGGAGTACAAGATCCTGCTGGACGTGAAGACCCGGCTGGAGCAGGAGATCGCCACCTACCGCCGCCTGCTGGAGGGAGAGGACGCCCAGTGAGTGGGGGCCCGGGGCCAGGGCTGGGGGCCTGGGGCTGGGGGCGGGGCTGGAGATCTCAGACCCACATCTGATCTTCCTTCTCTGTTTTCTTTGCAGCCTGACTCAGTACAAGCCCAAAGAACGTAAGAATCTTGGACCGTGGTCGCTGCGGGCGGGCGGGGCAGCACGGGGCAGGCACCCATCTGCACCTTGCTGGGGGAGGGTCCCCCGGAGCTCCAGGACATGATGGCTGATCCTTAGTGGGGGTGGAAGAAGGGACCCATTAGGGTTCAGGACTGATGCTCAGGGGAATCAGACAGGGAGACACTGCCTGGCCCAATGGGGGCAGGGCAGGGAGATGGTCCTTAATCCTGGAGTCCTAGTGTGATGGGGGAAACCTAGCTCTGAAGGCCGTCCTCTGATGGGGAGGCAGGGACCAGGTCTCATGACTTTTGCTCTGAGACCCTGCAGATGAGCGAAAGCAGTCTGGACTCTAGCCTGGAGGGAGAAAGGGGCTTGGTCCTTGTCCTCTGGGTCCCAGGGAACATAACCCACCTGCCCCGTGGTCCGCAAACTGCGGCTCAGCAAACCGCGGCTGGTGAGCCGCATGCGGCTCTTTGGCCCCTTGAGTGCGGCTCTCCCACAAAATACCGACTTCTGCGCATGGGCCACAAAGTTTCAATCGCACTGTACGTGCGTGCCCACACGTGGTATTTTGTGGAAGAGCCACACTCAAGGGGCCAAAGAGCCGCATGTGGCTCGCAAGCCGCGGTTTGCCGACCACAGCCCTAGCCTGATGGAGTCGATGGGGACCAGGTGCTGGCCTTGGAGAGCCCCGCCCAGGCTGATGGGGGAGACAGGAACACAGTCCATGCCCTGGAGACTGCAGAGAAATGGAGTTAGACCCATGTTGTGGGCACCCCGTCTGCGAGGTGCTGCTCTTGCAGAAGGACACGTGGGTCAGAATCACCCCACCCACCTGGGGGGCTGGGGCACCAGCAGAGGGACAAGCTGGAAGGGAGGGAGCAGTGAGGGTGGAGGGACAGTGTGGATGTGATGGCCAGGAGCCAGCAGAGGCGTGGACACCGTGGCTGTGGGGGAAAGAGCGGGCTCCTCTCAGGGGTGGGCTGAGCCAGGCTCTCTGGGCCCCTGCCCCCCTCTGAGTGTCTGTCTCCTGCAGCCGTGACCACCCGTCAGGTGCGCACCATTGTGGAAGAGGTGCAGGACGGCAAGGTCATTTCCTCCCGCGAGCAGATCCACCAGACCACCCGCTAGAACCCTGCTCACCTGCCCACCACCCCCAGGCCCTCATCAGCCCTGCAGCCTCGACCTCCCCAGCCTGAGCCCCGTGGCTCCCGTCCCTTTCCCATACCCCGTGCCTGAACAATAAAGCTTGTTGACTCAGACGTGGAATGCCTCCTGATTGTGGCCACTGAGTGGGCCCGAGTGAGGGAGGGGTGTACGGAAGCGGGGGCGGGGGATGGGACAGGGAGGAGTCCATGGACGCCCACTATTGTTGACTTAGAGTCTAGGACCAGGGTGAGGAGTAAGTCTGGGCAGAGCTTGTGTGTGGTGGTCCCAGGGAAGGTGGTGCAGGCCGGGCGAGACCAGGGTGCGGCCAGTGTATGGGGGGCCTTAGGTGGCCTCTTCGTGTCCTCTAAGTGGGCCTGTGGCCTCGGGCAGTCGCTTCCCCTTGCTGAGCCTCATTCTCTCATCCATAAATGGGTGAGCAGATTTCAGGTGTGGGAGCCAGAGGCCCACGGGATGTTGCATTCAATTGCTCCTCCAGGTCCCTCCCCCGAGAGGGGGCAGGGTTGGGCCAGGACAGGAGTCTGGGTTCTCTTGGGAGAGGCACCGGGGAGGGGAGATGGTTAGGGCCTCGGTTGCCCAAGAGAAAGGGGGAATCTCTCAGGAATGTTTCCTTAAATGGTCAGCTGCTGCTCGGGATGGGGTGCTGGGGCGTCAGTTGTCCTGGGGAGCAGGGCCATCCTCCCTGGCAGCCTGCGGGTGGGTGGTGGGAAATGCATCCTGGGGAGGGGCCAGGGCAGCCCCGCACAGCCACGCCCAGGACCCTCTGGGCCCGTCCCTTTCAGGGGAGGAGCCTTGGGGAGGAGCCTGACACCGGGAAGTCTGCCTTTGAGTGAATCCGGAAACCTTGGGGTGGGGTGAGCCTGCTTTCCTGGTTTTCCTGGAGAAGTGGGAGTGGGTGGAAGTGGTGAGTGAGAGGAGCGGTGCCCCGACCCCACCCCGATTCCCCGACAGGCCTGGGACTGTCTGCTGCTGCACAATCAGACCTGGGTGTCCTAACCCCTGCTGCATCCTGGTGCCTGGAGGCGGGGGGCGGGGTTTGGGCGAGGAGGGGGCAGGAGCGGGTGCCAAAAGACTCCACCAAAAAAAACCTCCCAAACTATTAGAACCCAGGACTCTTCAGTCCTCAGGCCGACGCCCTATCCACTGAGCCAAACCGGTCAGGACTTCCCTTATTTTCTTGATGACTTGATGGTATCATGTACCTGCAATATCCAGATGCAGTTTTGCGGGCTGGGCCAGCAGGTGTTGCTCTGCCAGCGGCTGGCTCCTCTCCGCTGCCTGAGCAGCAGCCAGGACAAGGATGCAGGCCAGGCAGGTGGCAGCGTCTCCCCAGGCCCCCGCCGCACATCCGGCCACAACCAGCAGAACCAGCCCCGGGCCGAGGATGGCTCCTCCGGAGGGTGATCTCATTTATTTGAACAACCTTCCTAGGAAGCAGGAAGGCTCTGGGAAGAGGCGCCTCATTGTGTGAACGGGGACACTGAGGCTCTGAGGAACAGTGACTCAGCCCTTGCCTGGAGCCCGGCACGTCAGGGATGGAGCAAGGTGCTGCCGGGAGAAGGAGACACTGTGCTGGGAACAGGCACCCGGAGCCCCACCTTCTGCCCCACCTCCGGCCCCACCTCCGGCCCAGCCTCAGGCTGGGAGGCAGCGGTTCTCTCTCCACAGACTGGGCCTGCTCCTACGCTGCAGGGGCCGCGGAGGGGTCAGCGTGTGGGGCTGGCCAGGGCTTCTCGTCTTGTTTCTTTCATTTTTATTGTTGCCCCTCTGCTGGGGAAGAAGACCCTGCCCACAAAGTGAGGGGGCGGGTGGCTCCGGAGGCCATAACACCGGGGCAGCCTGATGTGCTGAGAGCTGAGTTAGCAGAGGCAGCGGCTGCCCTGCTGGGGTTGGGGTTCGTGGAAGATAGTCCTGGGCCCAGCAAGGGGATGCCCACTCTCTCGGGAAGTGCTCAGCCCAGGCCTGGGCAGGTGGGGGCCACAGGGCACAGACGAGGTTCAGGGGACTATGGCCTCTTGGGGATGGCGTGGGAAACTTCGGTGGCCTTTTCCGGGCACCCCAAGCTGACCCAGTGCCTGGGGACATTGCCTGTGGCTGGACTGGGAGGCCCAGCTGTGGGTTCTATATAGAGTCTCATGGTTCATCTGTACCCACCCACTCACGGCACAAAATGTTTTGCCCCGAACGGTTAACCGGTCAGTAACTGCCCTCAGTGTGCCTCACTTGCTCTCAGAGGATGGACACACACTCACCTGATTCCCAGGCTCAGGCCCCATGGGTAGCCAGCCCCTGAGACTGCCTCCACCATGTCCCCGCCCTGGAAGGGGGACCATAGGCAGTACACTGCCCACGGTACTGCCCCGCTCTGTGCCTGGGTCTGCATGGGGACCAGGGGAAGCAAGAGACACCGGCCCTGGCCTGCAGGGACCCTAGCCTAGGAGGGTGAGCACGGCACAGTGGTGGGCTGACAATATGCCCTTCGCCCTTATGCAGTGTGGGCCTCCTGTGCCACCCATGCTGTGGGTGGCTGAGGAGAACATTGGGACCAGAACCAGGACAGTTCTCCCACCAGGCACAGGGCTCAGGCTGTAGCCAACATTGACCCAGCCAGGGGCATCCCTGAGGGTTGTGTAGACCACTGTGAGGGGCTGTGACAGCCCTGCCCTTAGAAGGGGGGCATCAAACGTGGGCGAGCTTGGCATTCAGATTCACCCAGATCCTGGGACCAGTCATGGGGCCAGCGCCTGAGTCAGGGACATTTGTTCACCCCCAGAGAGCCTGCCACACCCCCTGTAAGCCCCTCACCCTATCACAGCTGAGCACACTGTACTGGGACTGTCTCTGCCCCCAGTCCTTCCAAATGGTATGCCCTCAGGGTTTCTCTTCTTGTTGTTTTTTGTTGTTGCTCATTTGTTTGTTTTTCCATATCAATGCACATAGTAGGCGCTTTATAAATATCTGTGAATAAATGCAATATGGCCACCAGTCTGTGCTCGGTGCTTTATTTATTTCGCCTCTAACATGCCTGTGTAGTAGTGCTGATCTTCCCATTTCCCAGAGAAGAAAACTGAGGCCCAGAGAGGCACAAAGACTTGTCCAGTATCTGGTCCCTGCTTGCGTGGCTCCAGACTGCTCTGTCCTGGCTCATCCAGCCTCTTCTCTCTTCATCCTCCCCCGGGGCCCATGGATCTGGCTGCCACCAGGAGCTGAGGGCCCTGCAGCCCCCTCTTCCCTTCCCTCAGTCTCCCTGGGGCCTCCTTCCCCTGCCATCCCTCCCCAAGGCCTGGCTGGTTACCAGAAAGAAAACAGTCCTAGCACCTGCCTTGTCCTGGTGATGCTGGTGCAGTGGGCTGGTATTGATCCATTGGGCTGATACTGATGCAGTGAGCTGATACTGATGCAGTGAGCTGATACTGATGCAGTGGGCTGATACTGATGCAGTGGGCTGATGCTGTGCAGTGGGCTGATGCTGTGCAGTGGGCTGATGCTGGTGCAGTGGGCTGATGCTGTGCAGTGGGCTGATACTGATGCAGTGGGCTGATGCTGGTGCAGTGGGCTGATACCTGATGCAGTGGGCTGATGCTGGTGCAGTGGGCTAATGCTGTGCAGTGGGCTGATGTTGTGCAGTGGGCTGATGCTGTGCAGTGGACAGATGTTGATGCAGTGGCTGATGCTGGTGCAGTGGGCTGATGCTGTGCAGTGGGCTGATACTGATGCAGTGGGCTGATGCTGTGCAGTGGGCTGATGCTGGTGCAGTAGGCAGATGTTGATGCAGTGGGCTGATGCTGATGCAGTGACTGATGTTGATCCAGTGGGCTGATGCTGATGCAGTGGACAGATGTTGATGCAGTGGGTTGTTGATGCAGTTGCAGTGTGCTGATGCTGGTGCAGTGGGCTGATGCTGTGCAGTGGGCTGATGCTGTGCAGTGGGCTAATGCTGGTGCAGTAGGCAGATGTTGATGCAGTGGGCTGATGCTGGTGCAGTGGGCTGATGCTGTGCAGGGGGCTGATGTTGATCCAGTGGGCTGATACTGATGCAGTGGGCTGATGCTGATGCAGTGGGCTGATGCTGGTGCAGTGGGCTGATACTGATGCAGTGGGCTGATACTGATGCAGTGGGCTGATGCTG